AGGTCTCTTCCAACCCAGTACATCCTATGATTCTGTGCTGTTCTACTTCCAAGGCCTATTCCCCTGCTTGTTGTAGCGATCACAGCTTGCGACCACTATATCAACTGAGTGTAACTCTGTGTACTTTATATTAATATTGTTAATATTATTATTATTGTTGTTATTATATTTTTTATATTTCAACCCATGGATCTCCTTTCCTTTTCCTAATTCCCCTCCCTGGGTGGGGAGGAGTCATTGGATGATAGAATAACTGTATAGACAAATTCCTTTTATTATAACTCTTTGAGCTGGACCCATCAGCCAATTGCTCACCCACTGTATTATGGACTTGTCTAGCTGTGTGCTGGACATCTTGTCCAGAAGGATACTGTGAGAGACAGCATCAAAAGCTTTGCTATAATCTAAAAACCCCACATTTACTTGCTTCCCTTGGTCAACTAGTTGGGTGACCTTGTCACAAAAGGAAATTAAGTTGATTAAGCAGGAATTTCCCCTTGTGAACCCATGCTGGCTATGACCAATGACTGCATTGTCTCTTTAATATTTTTCAATAACTCCCAGAACGACCTTCTCCATAATTTTACCAGGCACTGACGTGAAACTGACAGGCCTGTAATTACCAGGGTCTTTCTTCTTGACGTGTATCAATATTCCTTTGTAGACTGATACCTGTGCTGGTAAATGGTATGAAATATTCAGAGATTGATATTATTCTGTTGAAGGTAAGCATTGATTTGTTTTATACTCAGTTAGAATATCTGGTTAGCTTCTGTCTTTTAAATCAGAATGATTGAGCTGGTAGACCAGATCTGATCTGCCATCTGTTCAATGGAGATTTAGCTTTCTGGGGCAAGCTATGTTGTTCCAAAAACTGAATGCTGCCATGTTTGTTGGAAAATAATATGTGGACTCTCCTGCTTTGCCCCTGTCCCCTTTCACCCAACTTTGGCAGAGCTGGGATACTTTTACCCATGAATTACTACAGCCTAAAAAAAAGATCAGAATTCATTTTAATGCCCTTCTAGCTTGAGCTGTGCAGCTTTTTTATCACAATATTTTAGAATGTGTCTGTGTACTAGAATTTCTCTATCTCCCTTCTAATTCCTTCTCATCAAGAGTAATTTCTTAAGAAGAATGCTTTGTGCTTTTGTGTGAGCTTACCTTTCTTGCTTCTATTTTCCTGTCATTTTTTCTGGTAAATGCTGTAGCAGAATGCAGTAACAATGGCATTTTTAGTTAGCCAAGCAGCACAAATGAGATGTGATTCTTTCATATGCTTATAAAATCTTGAACTAAAATTTACACTACATTAACTTCAATAAGCAATATAGTTACACTAGTTTATCTGATAAAACATTTTGATGACAGGGGGATGTTGAAGAAGATGAAACTATTCCAGATAGTGAACAGGACATAAGACCTCGTTTTCATCGTTCACGGACAGTAGCTCAGCAACATGAAGAAGATGGTATTGAAGATGACGATGATGAAGACGATGATCTTGATGATGATGATACTATTTCTGACTGGAATTTAAGTATGTCAAATTAATGTGTAAAATGTTTTAAAATTTATCTACTTGCATAATACAAGAACCACAGTAAAAAGAGGAGCTTGTGTATAGGAATACTGAGGCTTTGCTTTTGAATAGAAAAAGAACTGTCTGCTGATATAATTGGTGATTGGGGCAGAGGGTGAGTCTTTCAGATGACGTTTAAGGTATGTAACTGTATTGACAAAGGCTAGCTTATTTTGAATATGGCTGATAGAGCTGCAAACATCTACTGGATGCAATTCAACAGAAGCTTTGGATTTTGAATTTTAATTCTACAAAATAATGCAAATCATGGATCACCTGTTTAACTTTATTAAAAAAAGTCGTACGCGTCTTTGAGACATATCCAAAAAACTTTGAGACGTATCTAAAAGTTATTTTTTTATTATTATTTTAGAAGAAAATAAGCACAAATATGCTTGCTTTTGTAAAGTATTTTTTTCATAGTTTTAAATTCATAATGCTTTTCTTGTAGTTGTTGTATGTAGTGATTGCAGAATTAAATACATATTTTCTGAAAAACATAGCTGAAATGACAGAGGGTGACCTGTGGTCCACAGTTTTGGTTAAGTTGGTGAGGAAGCTAAAGCTGACTAGGAAAGAGAGAGAACAGAACAGTTAAGAAATCTGTTTTGATGTATGTCATCTGGAATTGAGAGAATTTGGATTATCTTAAATTTAGAATTGTGTGTCCTATTTCTTATCCAGTGTTCTATATTCAACTCTCAATTTGAACAGAGAGGAAACATCAGCACAGCCTGACAATTAGCAGCATTACTTACTAATGAGACCTGGTAACTAAATACGGGAGCCTGCCTTTTTTTCCTCTAGTAGAAAGCTGAAACATTCTTAGCTGAAAGCAGCAGGTACTGATCTTGGGGAGTCTGTACTGTTTATTATTGATTTGCAGTGGGGAACTGCTCTGTGTTGAGGGCTCATGTTTTGTTTTATTCAAACCTGTTGGACATCATTTAGGAGCAGAGCAGAAAAAGTTTTGTATTCATTATCTATTCTAGTAGTTGCTACCTCCCAGTCGAAATATCATCTGTGTCCTGTTTGGGCCCACTAACAGTTTAGGTCTGGTTTAGGATTCTTGCATGTTGCATTTGTTACATATATTTTGCCTGATTACCTGTCTTGTATCTACTTTTGTTCCAGTTGGATAATTTCTGATAGCTTAGGAAGGAACTGAGATCATAATAATAATAAAAAAATTGCAGTATAAATTCTGTAATACGAGCATTCTTTATAATTCCATTTTAGCATTACTGTTCTAGACATGCAGCACCACAGCAGAAAACGAGAGTAAGGATTTCTGAATCATGTTTTGAAGTTGTTCTTTCATGAGCTTTTCTGTGCTAAAAATATGAGATTAAAAACTTTCAAACAAATTTCGAGGTGATGTTCTTTCTATTGGTGCATCACAGAATTAGGGGTAAGATATAAAAGCTCAGAGCAGAGGTCAGTGAATTTCTTTCAGTCTCTAGAGATTTATGATTTTCCCTTTTTTTGCTTCGAGACATGGATCATGTTTGAACATTTTGTTTTTAATTAATTGCTAATATTTTTAGGCTATTTCTCTGTTCTCTTTAGTTTCTACAGTATATTACATTCATGTCACAGACCTTCCCTCTTCTGTAGTGTTACATCATCCTGAAATTATGTAATGTATATAATGTTTCAATATAATGGTATGGTTCCTGTCAGTGAGTATTTTAATATCCTCAGTGTATAAATCCTTTTAGTGGCTATAAAAATGCTGTAAAATTGTCTTTCTAAGTGCTATGGATTTGCATCAGAGCACAGTGGATCCCTGTGTATTGTAGTGAAATGGAAGTATTTTTCCTCCTAATGCCCTGGCAGTTGAAAGTTAAAATAAGGATTATACTGTCTAACTACAACTGCTTGTATAATAAGAAGAGATTAACACTGGTAATTCCCTTCAGGGAAATGTTCTGCTGCTGCTCTAGATGTCCTGGCTAATGTATTTCGTGATGAACTTCTGCCACATATCTTGCCTCTTTTGAAGGAATTGCTCTTCCATCCTGAATGGGTAGTTAAAGAATCTGGTATCCTTGTTCTTGGAGCAATTGCTGAAGGTAAGGCAACAGTGCATATCAGGTCACTGAATTTTTGACTGATTCTAAAGTAGCTCTGGGATTCCTTCTAGGTGAATTTACTTATGCAAACAAGTATATGTCCTTAGTGATTAGTCTCTACATCTGCTAGTTGATGACTGCAGTTACTTGTTTACCTTTTCATTTTCAAATCTATGCGTGTTTCAGAGGCTAAATAACTTAGATAATTTCTTTTATTTTTCCCTTTCTTAACTCTGCAGCATATATTTATTGGTCTCTCATGAAATACTACTTTGATTTGATACAACAGGAATATTTAATAAATTTGAGCCTTACATTTCATTCAGTGTTTTGAGAAATGGAAAAGACAGGTCCTGTGACTTCAGTGCCCTGAGCTGCTTTTTGTCGACATTTCTCTGCTTTAAATGTCATAACTTCTATTTCTTTGTATTTACTCACAGGCCTGGCTTTTTGCCTGTATTTCCAGCATCTCTGTCCATTTTGCAAACTGAAGGAATATGTTTGGGTCCATGCCTGGATTATCTATCTTTTCCTACAGTGCCTAGTGAACATACTTTTTATTTGTTGCTAGAAAACATTTTTGTTTTGATTTCAAGTCAAGCAAGATAAAAGTTAGTACTTCTGTCAAATCTCAGTGTATTACTGCCCTTGCTGACTTGAAGTGTGTGACTTTTATTGCTGATCAGTATTTGTGTGATATTAGGAGAAAACAAGAATAAAATAAAATTTCTTAAGGAATCCTTTTTAATGATATGATTTGTTATCAAGGCCTAATCTTTCTTTACTTGTTGTCTTGGTTACTCTGAGTAGACTGGCATAAGACATCCAAGCTTTATAATCTAATTGTATTTGGATATTCTTGCTATACCCCATTTAATAAAGCAGAATTTCTGGGGATTGGGGAAGCACTGAAGTAGAAATATAGTTGAAATGAATGTAAATTTGATTGGGGATTTTAATTATTGTTTATGGTGAGGTTTCTTTTTAGGACTTAACATAAATTAGGTAGACTTGCTTTGTATATTGTTAAAATATATTACTACATGACAGAGGATGAAAATATGTCCCTTCTAGGAAATAATAAAAAGTTCTATTACATTTTCTAATTCCCATACTGTAATAGCTATATTTTTCCTTCTAGGCTGCATGCAGGGTATGATTCCATATCTTCCTGAGCTGATTCCTCACCTTATTCAGTGCCTCTCTAACAAAAAGGCTCTTGTGCGCTCCATTACATGCTGGACTCTTAGTCGCTATGCACACTGGGTAGTTAGTCAACCCCCAGACACATACTTGAAGCCATTAATGACTGAGTTGCTAAAGCGTATTCTGGATAGCAACAAGAGAGTACAAGAAGCTGCCTGCAGGTGAGCCAAAGCTTAAACAAAAAGCACTATCCATGACACTGCTTTTTGATGGGAAACTATTTTAATGCCTTTTTTGATGAATGCATGACTTCATTTCTAGCTCTTAATGTATTTTTTTCCTTTTGAATAGGAGTAAGTTCTGTTTCTTCTGAAGTAGTCACAAATTACTCAGTTTTTTAATAAAATGAAAACAGATAATTTGTATTTCTCATCTAGTTTTTTTTCAGAGTAATGAATCACCAAACTAAACAATCTATTGCAGTAAATTATCTGTATGTGACACCTGTTTATTTTCAATAGTTGAAGTTTCATTGACCAGAAATTTGTCTTTTATATGTCTATGAACAAGGTCAATACTGATGACAAAGGAAAATTATGCTATCATTGCATCAGTGATGTTGTTTATATTTAGCTCAGGATTACCAAAATATTTGGGTTACAATTTTTTCAAGGGATATTTTCTTTCTCTTGAAAGGAGATCCTTGGAGGTAAGATTCCCTTCTCTCCCTTGGCTGTTGATATTAAAAATAAAAAAAATAAAATTAATGGGCATACCATTAATGGAATGAGTATCCTCTTGTGCAGGAAGCTCAGCAAATAAAGCTTTTACATGTCAGTTTGTGTACACAGCAGACTGCCAAGAAAGTTTCTTCATAAAGCAGAATTAGATCTGTAACATGTATACATAACAGGTTTTACAGGAATATTTTTTTTAATTTTGCTCATCACAATGCAAGAGATGAATCTTTGTGTTCAATCAAAATAGATAGAATTTGTCTCAGTAATACCATTATGAAAACCTACCTTGGATGAATTTGAGGGCTACATACAGTTCTATGTTTAAAGAGAAATGGGTAGTGTGGGGCATTTTGGGGTGGTCTTGTCTTGTTTTTTCCAAGATACTGACTGACCTGTTTGGGGTGGTTTTTTTGTCATTCAGTGCCTTTGCTACTCTAGAAGAGGAGGCTTGTACAGAGCTTGTTCCTTATCTTGCGTATATACTTGACACTTTGGTCTTCGCATTTAGTAAATATCAGCATAAAAATCTGCTCATTCTTTATGATGCAATAGGAACTCTAGCAGATTCTGTTGGACATCATCTAAATAAACCAGTGAGTATACCTTATCTTCTGTAGAAGCACTTGTCATATATGGAAAAACTGATTTGGTGGTTTTTGTAGTGTGCTTTACGTGTTATAAAACAGAAATGCTGACCTTTCTGTGTAAGCTTCAATAATAAAAAATATTTATATGTAAATTACATAGACTGCATGTATTTTTCCCACTACATTAATATTCCTCATTTTGAATAAACAGTTTTCTGTGTGGTGGCTTCTGAAATGCACTTCTTGTTGTGACTTTTTTCCTCATACTCAGAATTTTTCAGCTCAGAGGAGATACATATATCAATATAGATATGAAATGGGACTTTAAAGGAATTGGTGGAATGTGTGTGCTAATTTCTAATGACTGGTTTGGGATTTTTTTAAATCACTTTTGGTATAGCTAAGCTGCTCTGTGTCTCTGTCCAATGTATTGGAGTACATAATCATTACTTTATCAGAGTGGAACAGATGTGCATTTTATATATAAAAACACAGAATCCTTTAGACAAAGCACAGATAACACACAGGCAAATGTAGTGGATTTTTTGTAGTGTATGTATGTTCATTAATAGGATATGCATACATGTCATGTGCATCTTATAATGGCTATTGAAATTTGCTTTATTTTTCTATAATGCTTCACATGACAGACACACTAGAATAAAACAATTTGAGTTGTTGCCATGGCATTTTACTTGCTGTCCAAGACTCCACACCATCAAAGGACATCTTTTCCAATCTCTCTGGCCCTGGCCAGCTTGACATTGGACAGCACCAGGAGGAAGCTAGATGAGAGCTCCTGGTGATGGTGGGACTTATTTCAATCACTTAGAATATTGTATCTTTGGACATAGCATTAGCTGGCAGCATCTGTTGTGTCTCTGGATACTTTCTGGGTGCAGCAGTACTACAGGGATGCCTTGCTTAATGTCCTTGTAATTGTGACAGCAATGGCAGGAAAGATGCAACATCTTTATACAGAATTTGTAAGTGCACCCTTCTAGAGGGATAGAAAATTACTTTATTTGTGGATGGGTAGTTGCTTGAGGAAGAGGTTTCAGGAACTTGGGGGATAGGGTTATAGCATCAGGGCAATGGGAGATGGTTGAGAAAAGCAGGTGGCAGATGCACAGCCAGATTGCATTGCTGGTAAAAATATTTTCTGTAGGCCCTGAGACAATCCTATAGATTTGTAACAACCCAGACAGCTATTAAAAGTTGCTAGACAGAAGCCAAACATGGAAGAAAAGATGCATTCTGCAAAGGTATTTATGTGCCTCAGCAAAAAATCTTAAGACATAAATTGTAAATTCTAGTATTAAACTACTTCTACATACTGCAACAATGACTGAATTATGGTATATAAATTTTCTTTTGCTGAAAAAGTAGAATAGCTTGTAATAATAGCAATTTTCTAGCTTTGAAATAAACTAGTATCCAATGAAGTGTTTCAGTAGGTGATGCATTTTCATTCTAAACAGGAATATATTCAGATGCTAATGCCTCCATTAATCCAGAAGTGGAACATGTTGAAGGATGAAGATAAAGATCTGTTTCCTTTATTAGAGGTAAATGTTAAAATTTGAATATGTTTTATCAGCTTCTTTTAGGAATTACCTCTCTTACTAAAGATGCTCCTACTAGGAAGGGGGACTATAAAAGCTGACAGTGTTAGGTGTTTCCCATTATGGAGAAAATATGACTAGTGAAAAAATCTTGTGACTGAGGAAAATTCATTAGGTTTAGTAGAAATCTTTTAGATTTTTTTTCCTGCCGTTCTCGAGTGTTTTCTTTGGGATTCTTTAAAAAAAAAAATGTTCCATCCCCCTGTTGTTCTTGTCTTCTCTCTCTCCTTGCTCTCCCTTCATCCCTCCATTAAAACTATTATTAGACAGGCTGAAGCTATGAACCTGACTATGTAGTCTATTCCCTGTACTTTCCAAGTGTGAAGCAGGAAAACACTTTTAGAGAAATTAGTTTCGTAACTCTTGGGTAATGTTAGGGCTTGTATGTGGTCAGGATACTGAATTTTAGTATATGTGCTAGCTGTGTTATAGTAACTGTCTTCATATTAACTTTCTTGGTCACCTCTAAGAAGATGCTGCTTTTGAGAAATTTTATCAACTGACACACACAGGAGAGAGTAACAATTAGCCTTGGCTCAACTAATCAGTACTGTCTTTCTAGGTTGTTTTAACTTAATCAGTTACTTGTGGGTATACTTGAAATGCTTTCAATTTACTTCTCACAAGTAAAATATACTTCATGGATGTGAAGAAAGTTAGGAAAGTTAGATGTTTGTTGTTTTTTTTTAATTCTAGTGCCTGTCATCAGTTGCTACTGCCTTGCAATCTGGCTTTCTTCCGTACTGTGAACCTGTGTACCAGCGCTGTGTAAATCTGGTGCAGAAGACTCTTGCACAAGCCATGGTATTTTTCTATTGCTATTCCAATGTTTTCAGAATATCTCCTTAAACCAGTGTATTAAGTATGTCAAGTTATGGATTTGCAGGGAGGTTTATAGTATTAATCATTGAATATTTAAATGAAGGTGCAGTTCTGAAACTAATTTTTTGTTTGTTTTGTTTTTACTTTTATGCATACCCCTGAGAAAATATGATACTCTTTTTGAAAATGTGTGCTTATTTGTTGCAGTTGCACAATGCTCAGCCAGACCAATATGAGGCTCCAGATAAAGATTTCATGATTGTGGCTCTTGATTTACTCAGTGGTTTAGCTGAAGGACTTGGAGGCAACATTGAACAGCTAGTGGCTCGCAGCAATATCCTGACACTAATGTACCAATGTATGCAGGTGAGATGAGTAATCTGTTTAATCCAAGGATTTTCTTTCTTAAGAGAATTGGAAACACTTCTAGAATTGTCAGGTTTTTTTCTTCCTCTCTTTAGGATAATATGCCTGAGGTACGGCAGAGTTCTTTTGCGTTGTTAGGTGATCTGACAAAGGCGTGTTTTCAGCATGTTAAGCCTTGCATCGGTATGTTTCTTTTATGTATTAAATAATTAACATGTTTTACAAACTGATAAGAGGCTGGTTTAGCCATTGTTAAGTTCCCTTTTCTGTGGCTTGCTTTATCATGGTGTAAGTTTTCATTTTCCTTTAACATCAAGGGTATGTAGTCTTCTCCTTTGAACTACGTTCAAGACATGTTCTTTTTGTAGGCAGTGCAAAAGTACATTTTGCTGCTTGATTTTTATGATGTAACATGCTTCTTGTGCTGGAATGCAGCAAAACATGTATTTGGACTTTAATTAGAACAGTTGCTTTTTTGATAAATTCTTGAATTTCTACATTTCGTTCGACTAGAATCTGTTATTACATATAATTTATATATAGTCAAGTTAGAAAACTTGGCCAGAGCTTTAGGGTTTTGGGGTGGGGTTTTTATTTGGTTTGGTTTTTTTGGTTTGTTTTTTTAATTTCAGTAGGGAAGTAGCAGCAGTTATACACTTCCACAATATTCATTGTGTCTTCCCTCATACTCTTGAGATATACTTAACAAATGAATGCTTGGATAGGCTCGGAATTTAAAACTTATTTGACAGTTGTTATAATCTACCTTTGTGACTAATATTTTATTAAAATTTAATTAAGGCTGTGATTTGCCTCATTGTTTTTGGCTTTTGGGGTTTTTTGGGGGGAGGGGGCGCATTCAAGAGTTTGTTGTTGTTGGGAGTTTGTTTTGATGGGTTGCTTTTTTGTGGTTTTTTTTTGGGGGGGGGCAGT